TGCTGATCATGATCTCAAGGATGTCCAGGTCAGAATTCCATTTCACTTTGGAAAACCGACTCCATAAAGTTTTCTCCACCTAGGTGTATTCTTCTGTGAGGAATCTGTCCTCCTGTGAGAGATGGCACCACCACAAATTGAAAACCAGTCAAAAAGCAGAGTGATGGCTTTAATTCTCAGAGGTGAATGGATAGCCACATCTATGAATTCTGCCTTAAAAAATAAGCTTCCTTCTCCTCTAGGAATCTGATATAGGTTTGGGCTAAAATAAGAAACACAGAGACCAGCTGGGTCTGTTAGGTGAGAAAGGAAGCTTGATTTCCAGTTGTTACTTTGTAGCATGTTAGTTTTGAGAGGATTTCATTTTCCACTTCTATTTGAAGAAATGGAAAGGTAGAATCAGTGCCAGCCTAACACACGGCAGCTTTAGCCACTGATGACATCACAGCTTGCTACCCAAAAGTGGCAGCCAAAATAAACTCAACAAATGAGAACCAAAACCAAACAGAAGAGTCTAACGTAATACCAACATTTGTTCATCAGATATCACCAAGATATGGACACACAAATCATCAGAAGGATAAAGGGTGGTCTGGCTTTGTGGCACAGTGGATTAAGCCACCACCAAATAAAATGCTGGGATCCAATCCAATCCTTTAAAAAAGGATCCATCCTTTAAAAAAGATTTATTTATTTGAAAGTCAGTTTTGGGGGCTGGTGCTGTGACACAGCTGGTTGAGGCCCTGGCCTGCATCCCATATGGTCACTGGTTTGGGTCTTGGCTGCTCCACTTCCAATCCAGCTGCCTGCTAATGTGCTTGGGAAAGTGGCACAGTATGGCCCAAATCCTTGGTCCCCTATATCCACATGTGAGACCTGGAAGAAGCTATTGGCTCTTGACTTCAGATTAGCTCAGATCTGGCCATTGTGGACATTTGTGGAGACTTGGTTGGACTTCCAGGCTGGGCCAGCATTATTGCAGTCTCTTGAGTGAACCAGCAGACACAAGATCTCCATCCTTCTGTCCCTGCCTCTTTCTCTGTAACTCTGCCTTTAAAATAAAATTTTTAAATCTTGAAACAAATAAAGGGAAAGGGTGAGAGAGGAGCCACAGTAAAGTAACAGAGCAAAGCTACAGTTGTGCTGTCCCTCAGCAGCCTTCTGCCTTAAGTGGGAAGTCTCTGGCTTACAGAACTGACATAAAAGACACATTCACAACACATTTCAAAGCAAGAGATGAGAGGTTTAAAAGGCATATTGATTTTATGATGACTTTTATTCAAAAGGTACACTGGGTTTAAATCTATGCCTTTTGTGCAGCCATGTTAACCCAGGGTCTAATTCAGAGACGTACTGAGGAAGATGTGCTGCCAGGGGAGAGAGCTGCAATGTCCCCATTGCTCTCATAGCATCATAAAGAGAAGGAAAACGGCTACTCATGTCCATGGTTATAAGGACAGAAGCATAAAAATTTCAGAAGGTGGGAGCAAAGTTCAAATATAGTTTTCTTAAGAAAATAAAATGAAGTAAATCTCAGAATATAATGTGGGGTAGAAACACATCATCAGTTCATTATTTCTCACAGGGATCCAGGAAAACTGCCCTGTCTACCCACAGGCCAAATGTTTCAAAACACATTTTCTGATTAAATTCATTCAGGAGATTGCAGGACTCAGCACTCTGTCTGCAAGTGCCAAATGGAGGTTTAGTTTCCACTATGGGCAGATGTAGCCCAACCAGACACTCAGAACATGAGAAAAGCTTTTCCATAAGAAGGAACATGAAATATTAAATCACACAGAATAACTGTGCTTAGTGCTCAAAGTGAACTCCAGGATAAGCACCCAGAAAACCTATTAGGTTTTGGAGCCAGCACCGTGGTGTAGCATGTAAAAATTTATTTATTTATTTAAAAGGCAGAGTTACAGAGAGGCAGAGGAACAGAGAGAGGTCTTCCATGCACTGATTCACTCCCCAAATGTCTTCAATGGCCAGAGCTGGATCTATCCAAAGACAGGAGCCAGAAGCCTCTGTCAGGTCTCCCATCGGGTACAGGAACCCAAGAACTTGGGCCATCTTCCACTGGTTTCCCAGGCCACAGCAGAAGGCCTAATCTCAAACCAGCACCCATATGGGATGCCAGCACTGTAGGTGGTGGCCTCACCTGCCACGCCACAGTGCCAGCCCCCCAAATAAATCTATCTTAAAAAGCATTTAAATGAGGGATGGGAGAGAGTTTGTTTATCAAAGCAAGGATAACATAACTACTAGTACTCAACTTCAAAAATATAGAAATTTAATGAAACTCAAAATATAACCAAAATCATCATCTACTACAAGTTATTATCTTTATATTGAGAGTCATATTAGAAAAAATTTAACCCCTCCCCCCACTTTAAAAAAAATGCACATGGGGCTGATGTAGTAGGTTAAGTAGCCCCTTGTAGAGCCATCACCATACATGGGCCCTGGTTCAAGACCTGGTTTCTCCATTTCCAATCTAGTTCCATGCTAATTCACCTGGGAAAGCAGAAGATGACGGCCCAAGTGTTTGGGCCCCTGCAATCAAGTGTGAAAACCAGAAGCAGCTGCAAGCTCCTGGCCCAGCCCAAGCCATTGTGGCCATTTGAGGAGTGAACCAATGGATGGAAGACCTCTCTCTGTCTCTCCATCTCTCTCTAAATCTGCCTATCAAGTAAATAAAATGAATCTTAAAAAAAAAAAAAAAACCCTATACAAGGTAGTATTTTGGTTATTCCCTCATACAAAGAAAGCTCAGATAAACTGTAGATGAATCCTCCTGGCTTGATGCAATTCAGAAGGAGGATTGCCTTCTGCCACCCTGTGCTAGACATCAATGAGAGTTATCAATCGGAAGATGAATGGACACGTCAGACTGCTTCCTCACATGGCACCTTTTCTTAAAGACATCACTGCTACAATACCAGGTTATGTCCCTCTTATGAAACATGTCTCTCCTAAAAACTTTTAAGAACTTGCCAGAAACATAGCAGAGCAGGGAATGATGTCCCAAGGACAGTCAGTTAGGCTGAGTAGTCTAGGAATCCTGTTCTTGGCTGTTTTCAAGTTCGTATTAATGTACACACAACACAGTTGCTGAGAAAGTGTCTTACAGTTGTTTCCTGGGTGTGAAGCAGCTCTTTTCAGCAGAAACACATCACTGCTTGTCCACCCACAAGCACTGTGATAGGGAGTACATGGGAGAAAAGGTAAAAAACACACTGGGCTTGAGAGGAAGAATGCTGTTTATTTGAGAGGTAGAGTTACAGGTAGTGAGAGGGATAGGCAGAGAGAAAGGTCTTCCTTCTGCTGGTTCACTCCCCAGATGGCCAAAATGGCCAGAAGAGCTGCACTGATCTTAAGCCAGGAGCCAGGAGATTCTTCTGGGTCTCCCATGTGGATGCAGGGGCCCAAGGACTTGGGCAATCTTCTACTGCCTTCCCAGGCCATAGCAGAGAGTTGGATCAGAAGACGAGCAGCTGGGACTTGAACCAGTGCCCATATGGGATGCTGGCTATGCGGGCAGAGGATTAACCTACTGAGCCACAGTGCTAGCCCAAAGCCACATCTTTTACCCTACTGTGTGGGCATCTCTGTTGGGGGGAGGGGCATATTTTATTTCTTCCTTACCCTTCCTCACATTAACACCTGTACAAAGGCTTCCACAGACCACAGACATTATGAAAATCTATCACTAATATCCTCCCATGTTGAAAATGTCATGGGGTTAAACACAGAACCCAGAGTAAGAAAAGTAACGTGAGGCTGGTGCTGTGGCCGAGCAGATAAAACCATCGAGACCTGGCTGCTCCGCTTCTGATCCAGCTCTCTGCTGTGGTTTGGGAAAGCAGTTGAAGATGGCCCAAGTGCTTGGTCCCCTGTACCTGTGTGGGAGACCTGGAAGAAGCTCCTGGCTCCTGACTCTGAAGTCATGCAGTTCTGGCCGTTGTGACCATCTGGGGAGTGAACCAGCAGATGGGAGACCTCTCTCTCTTTCTCTGTGCCTTTGCCTCTCTGTAACTCTACCTTTCAAATAAATAAATAAAACCTTAAAAAAAAAAAGTAACTGGCCCTCTTAATCAAAAGAGTATGGATTGTAAGATAATCAGTTTGGCGGAGCGTTGAGTGAGGGAAGAGAAAAATTGTTACTTTTCTGTATTTATGTTTTCATAGCTCTCCACTTAATGAAAATCCATATTAAAATAGCTCATTATTGACTCACTCACACGGTAGACTTGCATTAACTTCAGTTCACTTCTCACTTTGCAAAGGGATTAGCAGCAGATAATAATAGTTCACATCCATAATATCATGAGAAGAAAGAAGGGTTGAAGACAGAAACCAAAAAGCAGGAAAATAAATCAGCTACGTTTCCATGGCCTCAAGCTCCAGATTGAAAGAGTCTGTTAATTAAAACGGTGGAGAGATCAATCCACAAAGCTACTGCACAAGCTTCACATTGCCGCTGGGAAACACAGCCAAACACATAGCGCCCCAGCTGTGAAATGTGTCGCAGGGTCCAGCATGGGGGCCATGAGCCAGATCCTACTCTGATCCTCCAACCCCACCTCTCTGCTGCCTCGGGCTCCGGCTGAGGGCCACCAAGCCCCGCCCAGCTGGAACTACCATGGGATATAGCCAGATGCCCAGCCAGAAGGCATTCTTTGACCCACCCAAAGTGAGAACTGGGCTTACTTAAATACAGAGAATGGGATTCCTCCCTTCGCCATGCTCTCAACTCCCGTGCTTGTACCGTTCCTCGTCCACTGTACTTTAAGGAGAATTTGAACGAGGCAGCCCGTGGGACTGGCCGAGCATTGGCAGACTGGGAAGCGGTGGTGGGAGACACAACACCTGGTTCCAGCCTTGACTCTGCCGGAGAAGCTCCCAGGATCACTGAGAAGCAAGTGATCGAGGTCTGGGAGCCGCCCACCCCCTCCCACACACGCATAGATGCCCCTCCTGTTCTCCATACTTGCCGTGGAAAATCTCGGGAGCACGTCCCCTTTCTTCAGGACACACGGGGAGCAAAGCGGAGTGTGGGACGGAAGTCGCTGGAACCTGGGACCCAGGGGTGGCAGACGCGGAGGCACAGAAGCAGCGGGCGGCAGGTCCGGGGCGTGTGCTCCCGAACCGCCTGCAATTGCACTTGCAGAGCAAGACTCCCCAGTGAATGTGGGAGAAGGCGCAGCGCGGCCTCTCAGGGACCTCTCTGATCAGTAAATGAACTTCCTCCGTTCCCAACCCGGAGCCACAGGCAAAGGCACGCGCATGCGCACGTTCTCCCACATTCACACGCACGGGCGTTCAGCGCGAAGAGCGTTACAGCACCGGGTGACTCTGGGAAATGGAGTCCAGGCCAGGGCATTCCTCGATAGACTTACTGGCCCTCTCCTCGGGCTTCAGTGTGGGGTGGGTGGAGACAGGCTGGGAACCAGAGGGCGTTTGCTCTTGTTTACATCCCTCCTTCCCTTCCTTCCCACCCCAAATCTCAAGGGCCAGTTGCTGTTTGTTCTTCCTTTCCTGAACAAAATCTTAAGAAGTGACAGCCACTGCTGCGGAGTCCCAAATCGCGGTTCCCTCACACACGCTGTTTCCCTCAGAAAAATCCCCCTGCTGCTTTATTCCTGGACGGCTTCTCTCAAGTAATGAATGACAACAATCAATGTAACTTAGCACAGGTGTACACGGTGTAGTTTAACACCTAGATATGAGAATACGATTTTTATTTGTTTCTTGTTGATGTTTGTTGTTCTTTAAAAATCATTTTACACCACCCTCTAATTCAACAAGTACAAAAAAACAAAAAACAAAAAACAAAAAACAAAACAACAACAACAACAAAAAAAAAACAGCAGAACTAAATACAGAACTAACATTGCCAAGTATCTTCTCGGGGCCAGATTAATGGAGTAAGTGCCTTACTTTGTATCATTTATACCTTAGATTAATTCTGGAGACAGTTTATCAATTTACATGAGGAATCTGAGGTGGAAAGAGTTTAGAATTGAATTTGCCCATGGAAATATGGTTAAAAAGTCTAGGTTAAAGGCCAACCAAATGAAATATTGGTTTAAGAATTCAGGACCAGCACTGTAGCATAGTGGGCTAAGCCTCCACCTTCAGCACCGGCATTCCATATGAGTGCTGGTTCAAGTCCCTGCTGCTCCACTGTCAATCCAGCTTTCTGCTCTAGCCTGGGAAAGCAGCAGCAGATGGCCCAAATGCCTGGGACCCTGCATCCACATTAGAGACCCAGAAGAACTTCCTGGCTCCTGGCTTTGGATCAGCTTAACTATGGCCATTGCAACCATTTGGGGAATGAACTAGTGGATGGAAGACTTCTCTCTCTCTCTGCCTCTGCCTCTCTGTACTTCATCTTTCAAATAAAAAAAAAATCTTCTTTAAAAAAGGAAATATTTCTTTTATCTTGGGGCTCAGTTTCTAAAAACCCAGGTTTCTCATCTCTAAAATAAAAGTGAGGGAGAGGAAGAGTATCTACAATGCTAATCTTCACTGTAGAGAAACACGTAGGATTACAACTTATCTAAAAAAGAAAGGAGATTCAAAGTTGCTATTGCTGTATGGTTATTTGTCTCATGTTTAATATCAAGATAGCATATAAATATTATGCATTCTTAGGTATATGTGTGGTGTTTGATTTTTAAGATTTTAAGTAGAGATGTAAATGGAAGCAGATGACATGGAGTTCTGTTTGTTATTACTTCTGTCAATTATAATTCATGGGATTAGAATTGCTGGATTAGGAATGCTTAAATGTATCCATTCATTTCACACTAATGTTTATTATATCAGGCAATATTCTTTGTGTAGACTGCTTTTTCTTGCCAGATTGAAAATTCAGGAGGGCAGGAAACATGTTTGCTTTGACATGAAAACTCAGCATCTTGATAGAGTCATTCTTTTAGTTGAATGAATAAATGAGGATATAAAAATTAAACAAATACAATTTCTGATCCCTGAGAACTACCTAGTTGAAGAGACAATGAAATAGATATCTATTTGATAACTGCCACAATTAGATGGATATATAATTTGTTGCTCAGAGACAAATTTGATAATAAAAGAGACATATTAATAATGACACAGGGTTGAAATGTATGAACAGAAACCATCCAGGGCCAAGTAGGTTAAATATTCACCCTAGCTTTGTAAGGCATTCCATCCACTATTTAGTAAGCATTTACTGAGCATTCTTTTGTGTGGTGAGTTGAAAGAACTACCAGCCATATGATTTTCCTAGATATTGGAGTAAGAGATCCTGAGCAGTCAGGAAAAAGCTGGGGTGAACTAAAAGGCTTTTGACACAAAGGTAAGAAAAATAAAAAGCAGATAGGTCAATTAAAAAGTATATCAAAGGTAATTTAGTAGGATCTGAACCAAGGTATGGTGGCAGTGAGCGTGAAGAAGAGGCAACAGATTACAGGGAGATCTAAAAAGCAGAAACAACATGATTTCAATAGTAGATGAGGCAGGAGGGAACTCATGTGTAAATCTTCATTTGGACTTTATTATTTAATAGACAAGGTGTTCTCAGTACATTAACGTTCATCAGTAATAAAAGGCTACCTTCAGGGCTGGTGCTGTGGTGCAGCAGGTTAATGCCCTGGCCTGAAGTGCGAGCATCCCATTTGGGTGCCAGTTCTAGTCCCAGTTGCTCCTCTTCTGATCCAGCTCTTTGCTATGGCCTGGGAAAGCAGTAGAAGATGGCCCAAGTCCTTGGGGCCCTGCACCTGCATGGGAGACCCAGGGGAGGCTCCTGGCTCCTGGCTTCGGATTGGCACAACTCTGGCCATTGCAGCCAATTGTGAAGTGAACCATCGGATGGAAGACCTCCCTCTCTCTCTCTCCCTCTTCTCTCACTGCCTCTCTCCTTCTGCCTCTACTCTTTCTGTGGAACTCTGAATTTCAAATAAATAAAAATAAATCTTTTTTTTTTAAAAGGCTACCTTCAATTGACTTATAAACTTCCCCTAAATCCAGGACACAAAACCTCATGGGTAGCTACTATCTCTTAAGCCTTATGTTGATCATCAAGCCAAATATTTTTAACTGTTACAATATACAATGGTCCTCGTTATGATGCAGTTACTTAGAAACTAGAAGACATAATCATCAGTGCCTATAAACACAATCTAAATAAAAAAGTTAAATTCAGGGGCTGGCACTGTGGCGCAGCAAGTTAACACCCTGGCCTGAAGTGCTGGCATCCCATATGGGCGCTGGTTTGAGAACCAGTGCTCCACTTTCAATCCAGCTCTCTGCTGTGGCCTGGGAAAGCAGTAGAGGATAGCCCGAGTCCGTGGGCTCCTGCACCTGCATGGAGGACTGGGAGGAAGGTCCTGGCTCCTGGCTTCGGATCGGCACAGCTCTGGCCATTGTGGCCAACTGGGGAGTGAACCATCAGATGGAAGACCTCTCTGTCTCACTGCCTCTCCTCTCTCTGTGTAACTCTGATTTTCAAATAAATAAATAAATAAGTATTTTTTAAAAAGTATAGTAATGGTCAATATTTATAAAAAAAAGTTAAATTAAAAAGCTCACAAAATCATATAATTCAAAGCTAAATTTGGAATACTTCGCTAATCCACAATTCATATATTCACCAACCTTAGGAAACTAAAGCACACACACTTAAGCAGGACAGAAGTGAAAGATTTTTTCCTGGGGCAGGGTGGGGAGGATCACATACGGGCATCAGTTCATGTCCTGGCTGCTCCATTTCTGCTACAGCTCTCTGCTATGGCCTGGGAAAGCAGAAGATGGTCCAAAGCCTTGGGCCCCTGCACCCACATGGGAGACCCAGAAGAGGCTCCAGGCTCCTGGCTTCAGATTGACATAGCTCCAACCATTGCAGGCAATTGGGAACGAACCAACGAATGGAGGACCTTTCCCTCTCTTTCTTTCTCTCCTTCTCTCTCTGTGTAACTATTTCAAATAAATGAACAAATCCTTAAAAATGCAATTTCCTGGAATAACCAAAATACACATTATAAAGTCCAAGTAAGGTGTCTAACCACTGGCTAACCATCATGACTCATTAAAAAACTCACTTTGTCTTGGGTTCTCTGATATGAGTGGTGGACACAAAACAGAAAAGAAAGCAATAGGTTTGAGCAGTGAATAAATGGAAAGGGCTCCAACAATAATGCTACAAGACTCTTTGGCTCCTAACTGAATGCAATATGCAGGCAGGCATCTCCTTAATTTCTGCCATGTCCTCAGTTGGCACAGGGCCATAAGAACTGAGCACAACAATCAGAGCTTTCAATGCCAACATCTACAATTCAAATTCACTTAGTGATAGTGGAGCACTGTAGCTTCGCTTCATGAGTACAACTAAACCTCCACTCTTGATATATCATTCTGTTTGGATCCACTGGAACTGGAGAGTGTATGGGATCAGAGGGAGTAGAGGAGCATTGTTTGTAGGTCTCATGGTGGTGGTAGCTGTGCAGAGGGAGGGGTGGAGGAGGAGGAGAAGAGCAAGAGCCCCTAGCACTGTGGGAATGAGGAGCAGAGGATGAATGGAGACAGGGATGACTTGTCTGCATTATGCCTGGTATTCTCCTGGGTATAGTTGATGCAACATGAATAATGTGAATATCATGATTACCCTAAAGGCAATTTCAGTCCTGGTGGACAGATGACAAGGACATAGATGATTAAAAACAATGTGATAAAAGTTGTAGGTGCACAATACAATCACCTATATCATTTGTGAATGCCATGCCCATCAGGCAGGAAACATCAGGTTAAGGTCAGATCTCAGGGCTGGCACTGTGGTGTAGAGGGTAAAGCCAGCCCCAGCAGTGCCAGCATCCCATATGGGCACCGGTTCAATTCCCAGCAGCTCCACTTCTGATTCAGCTCTTTGGTGTGGCCTGGGAAAGCAGATGGCACAAGTCCTTGGGCCTCTGCACACTCATGGGAAGACCTGGAGGAATCTCCTGACTCCTGGGTTCTGAGCAGTGCAGCTCTGGCCATTGCAGCCAATTGGGAAGTGAACCAGCGTATGGAAGACCTCTTTCTCTCTCTGCCTCTCCTTCTATCTCTCTGTAACTCTGATTTTCAAATAAGTTAATTAATTTAAAAAAAGGGTCAGATCTCAGAGGTAGCAGAGCCTAGAAATGATACCATTGTATTAAATGAAAATAGAAAAATGGTAGGTAGAAGTTTGATTACTAAAGCTGGGATCAGAACATGGATCTTGACTGGCAGGCTGTCAAACCAATCAACAACCTGGACAAGGCT